CATGATATGCGAGGCTATCGTAGCCATGATACAGGCTATCGTAGCCATGATATGCGAGGCTATCGTAACCATAATATGCCAGGCTATCGTAACCATAATATCCCAGGCTATCGTAACCATAATATACGAGGCTTTAACAGGTTTTTCTTAGTCAGGATTGGTACCGGAGGCGCGTTGACATCTCCTTATTCCTGTGGTTTATCCATACTGACTTAATTAGGACAGGCGTGCCATCCTATATTAAAAGTTCTAACCCTCGCTCGTCTCATACATTTATCGTCTTTAATGCTATTCTTACCTAAAAGCCCGGTAATACGAGTCAAAGAAGTTATTTGAAGATGAACCTTAGTTTTCGGTTACATTAATCGTCGCCAACGGTAACGAGAGTAACCGTTTGTAGAATGCAAACTATTGAGGGGTGAGAACTGTCAGGATGTATAGATTAAATTTAATTAAGTCCAATAAGCAATCATTTTCGTCCAAAGTTGGTAATGAATTGTGTTGCAGAAATTCTTTCGGTGCAATTCCATCATTAATGGACCAAAGTTGTATTTATCGGCCAAGTTTTTCAGTTCACTCCGCAATTCTTTTGCTTTGGTCGAGGTCATAAAATCTCGAGAATTTTCGCGCAGAAATGAAACTGGATGAATCTTTCTCCTAACAACTTTTCATTGTTACGTTTTTTTTAGCGAGGAACTCTGAATATGCACGGTAGGATACACTGATTAACGGTGCATTTTTTATAAATTTTTTTACCTTCGTTTACATTCTTTTTTGTCCAAACTCATGGTTACTAACGCTGCCACGCGACCAGCGATCGAACCGTTCATTTAAGCTACAAAGCGACGAACATTTTAGCCTACACTCATAGAAATTAGTGGAACTTTGTCCAAACAGTGATGCACTGAATGCCTAGTATTTGTCGCGGTGAAGGAGTTTAGTAAGAATATCATTGAATCAGGAAAGAATATCATTGCTACGTTTTCTCTCTGCTCGTAGCAAAGTGTTCCACTATTTGGTCAATATGATCCATTCTTTTTTCTGAATGTGGAGATGACATTAATTCCGGTTAAGTTTTTATGTCACCCGGTTGACGGTTGACGGGTTCGAACGACCGTTTAGTGCCGGCAACCGCTGGCTGCAAGCGATATGGAGATAAGCTTGCTCGCTCTCCCAATTTATACGCGTTCTTGTTCTTTTAAACTTAAAAAAAATCCTTTTTGTAGCAGCGTGTTATACGTACATTAGTAAGCGTTGCTGTAGCATAGTGACTTATATACTCCAGAATAGTATAGACGTACATGTATGTGTAGTATAGACATACATGTGTAGAATGTGTCATTTCTATACAGTGATTGTACAAACATACATGTGTTATAGATATATTCGTGGAAATATAAAAATGTAAAATGTCATTTCTACACATAAGTATGTTAGAGATAAAGAAATTGATAATTTTTCTTTCAAGAAAATCTAGCTCACCACTTAGCAGTCGTAATGATTTACGCAACAATAATAAGTGAAAAAAGTTCAGTTCGTCCGTGAAGATAAATTTGTTTCAGTCTATCCTCCAACTCCATTAAAATACCCCACTGTGTAATTATTAACTTTGCAAAATTTAGAATTTTCTTGCACTTCTTTGCATCTTAAAATTATTGCGTCCGTGTTTCCAACTTATAGAAGAGAAATATTTTTTTGAAGATTTCCCAAGTTCTTGAAGAAAGACTATACATTTTTTCTCTTTCTCATTGTAATTTTTGTTGATTTGCTTCATGCAAACCTGACTAGGAAATTTATTTAGTGAGTCAAAAATGATCATTTCTCCTGGGTGCCCCACACTCGGGCAAACGATGTTGCTTTGTCCAAATATCGATTCTCTGTTTGCCCTTGGGTGGGTCAACCTGACCCAGTTTGACCAGGCAAAACGGTGTGTCAGTTCTTCGTCCGCTCGTGCTGCGAGTGAGAAAGTGTTTCACTATTTGGACAATAGAACCACATCATTTTTCTGGATATTTTTTTTCTGAAGTGTATGGTTATTAGCCTTCATCCAGCTGATGCTGAAGGGTTAAAGCAATATAGTTGCACTTGTTCGTCTTTTATTTTACTCATTAGGAGATAGCCATCATCTAATTATGTCTGCTTCCTTACCGTTGCTTTATTGCCTTGGTTCGCATTTATTGCAAAACAGTTACACAAAACCTGCTCCTCAGTCTGCCTCTTGCGCGTCTTCGGCGCTGTTTTTTCCACTTGTAAAAACAAGTGGAAAAATTGCTTGTTTTCTACTACATTGATATAACTTTTAAATTTTACTACTTTTTAAAATTATTCGTCAGAATTTTTAGTTCTTATTTGGTGCCTAGCAAATTTGGTTCCTTCGTTGCTGTTCGCGGAAATTCCAGTTTTTTTAACTTGGAGGCGCTACATGTATGGCTTTATGTCATTTAAAAAACACGGTGGGCCCACAGGGCGAGAACGTAATAGGCACCGTGGCGGTGTGGTTCTTGGAGCTGCACCGTGTAATGAACCGCATCGGTNTCATACATGGCAAGTCGCATAAAATTATTCACATAATGGTGACTTTAAAATGCGTCATTGTTCGGCCATCATACATGGCAAGTCTCATGGAATCATTCTCTTGGCATCCACACAAGGCTTCTGAAAGGCATAGTATGCGGCTTGTATTATGTGTGAGCTTGTATTGTGTGTGAGATGCCCCGTGTCCATACACGTGACCCTGAATAGAGGCGCTGCCTGCAGGCGCTGGCTTAGCTAATCTCATAGGCGGCGGCCGGGCCTTTATTGTGGCCAGGAAATTCTTCGGACTTCAGGCGCTGGCCGCGGCCAACAGGCGACGGCCGGGCCACACTGAACTAACGCCGACGGCTCCTGATGCTGCTATGCTGTGCTGGACCGCTGCTGTACGTGGCTGGACGGCTGCTGTACGTGGCTGGACCGCTGCTGTACGTGGCTGGACCGCTGCTGTGCGTGACTGGACCGCTGCTGTGCATGGCTGGACCGCTGCTACGCTGCTGTACGTGGCTGGACCGCTGCTGTACGTGGCTGGACCGCTGCTGTACGTGGCTGGACCGCTGCTGTACGTGGCTGGACCGCTGCTGTACGTGGCTGGACCGCTGCTGTGCGTGACTGGACCGCTGCTGTGCGTGGCTGGACCGCTGCTGTGCATGGCTGGACCGCTGCTGTGCGTGGCTGGACATGCCGTTTGGCTTCCTTTTTCTGCCTCGCCTAAAATTGCCTGCGGTTTATGGACGGCCGATGAACGGCAGGTCGTCGTAAAGTAACTGGCCGCTAATATTTCTTAATAGGGGCCATGTGAGAGGCATATTTTGACTGATCAATTACGAAGTTATGATCATCGTATTACGATGCTTTTAAAAAAATATTTTATCTTTAAATAAATTTGATTTTATTGAACTCAGCCCTACAGAGATATATTGAATCTTCATTTCAAGTTCGGTAATTTTAAAACCCGTGTTTTGTCTCCTGATTTCATCTAACATCCGATAGGATTTTTTATAATCGTGTTGCTAACCCTGTTCTTCCAATCTTTCGTTCTTACGGAGTAGTAATTTGCAGCCAATAATGTTTCGTATTGAACAGAATTGGTATTATCATCTTGGAAACAAGTATCAATCAGAATTCATCCCCTACTTGTAAGATCCGTCCCCATGTATTATATCTGTCTCTTATACACATCTAGATGTGTATAAGAGACAGGGCTGGACCATTGCTGTGCATGGCTGGACCACTGCTGATCATGGCTGGACCATTGCTGTGCATGGCTGGACCATTGTTGTGCATGGCTGGACCACAGCTGTGCTTCAAATAATTGAAGTCGACGTTTGAAGGGAAATGTTGTATAAAATGCGTAACCATTGAGCACTTTGAATACTAATGCTTTCATTATTTATCAATGCATGATTTCAGAAAGTTTTCATTCAACTTCTATTGATTTGGGCACTCATTGTCTCTCTAGCCTCAAAATCATCAGATTATCACGGGAATTAGCATGGAAAATGTAAATGTTCGTCGGTCTCTAAGTAAAGTCATTGTTTAAAATATCTAACGTAATTTCGTTGGCCGCCGATAAGCCTACCATGAAAAGCCGAGAATGTTACTTTTCAGTTCACCGGCGACATCTTTAAATGCGGCGGAAATTCCTGTCGTTCATGAGTGCATTACATTTTCTATATATACCCTTTTAAAATCTGATTTAAAGGAGATTTTAAGGCGATTTTAAGACGATTTTAAGTCTGCAGGCTCTTATTTTTAAATGCGGAGAAGTTGCGTGTTCGCTTTACGCAAGTGGAAATGCTTTTATATAGATGCAGATGCTGAAATAGATTGTGACATCGTAACTATTATTTTAATTTCCATTTCGACTTGAAACCTAAAAGGTCCGTCGCATTCGTGAAATTTAAATTATAGGATTTGTGAAACTTTTGATCGTTTGAAATTTTTAGATTTTCCTGGGTCGCTTCCGTTGTCATGTTTGTTCATCACCAAATTGTTCTGCGTCATTGCTGCCGTTAGACATCCGTAAAATCCGAATTATATTTATTATTTGATATTTTATGTAGCGATTATTCTTCATTGTGAAAAGACATGTTTGATCACAAATTTATATAAAAATGTTAGTACAACAGAGACTCGAATAATGCAAAATGTGCCTGCTCATTGCCGCTCTATTTTTCAATACCAAATTATTTTTATTTGTGATTTCTTCAGTCATTCTACGTTCTACTCGGTGGCAATTTTTATTTGTTATTAATATATCACAGTGATAAATATATATAATCAATATGGATATCTAATATCTATATTAGAATGGAGCTTTTATTCCTGTACATTCATGTAGTTTTATTTCTCATTTAATGTAATAGAATGTTGTAGTTCTAGTTCGATTGAAGTAATTCCAATACTCATATTATTTAATTAAATATTTCTAGTTCAAACGAATCGTTCTAATTTCTCAATTTCAGCGTTCAAGTATAAGACCAAAGAATTGACTTTTGTTAAGAGCTTGTGGGCATTAACTGCTTCAGATTTAAGTTTCCGCGATGTCCGTGTGCAATTCCATGAGAATTCAAGTCTTGTACTTGTGAGATCTTGAGTGCGGTGAGTAGCGTCAAGTGAGTGTGCGTTAACATTTACTCATGTCTGCTAGAGTGGCCGCGAGTGTTAGCTCTCTCCCTCCGAGGGGCTTGGAGAGGCAGGGGTCTGTGCCCCCTTTGAGTGGCTTACAGAAACAGGGGTCTGCGTCCCAGAAACAGGGGTCTGTGCCCCCTGTGCCCCCCTTGAGTGGCTTACAGAAACAATGGTCTGTGCCCCCTTTAAATGGCTTACAGAAACAGGGGTCTGCGTCCCAGAAACAGGGGTCTGTGCCCCCTTTAAATGGCTTACAGAAGCAGGGGTCGGCGCCCCCCTTGAGTGAGAGGAAAGAGCCCCCCAACCTCTTGGTGTGCCAGAGCTGGTGGAAGAACTGCTTGGTGCAAGGAGACCAATATAAGAAGTACAAACAGCTTTACTCCAAGACTACGAAGCTAACGACTCTTCTCTCCAAGGAGAAGAAAACAAACAGTTCTATAGCTGACAACAATACTAATGGGAACTGCAAGAATAGTGAAGGTAATGATGACAATGACGATACTGAAGAGGAATGCATTATCCAACTGCCCATGGTATTGGCTAATACCATACCTGTGAGTTACCCAGCCACTGAACCGTCAGTCCGGCACAATAGACTCCTTGGCAACAAAGGACCTTTGGACCAATCACTCACCGATACAAGGACTCCCTTGAATTATGAGTCCTTAGGCCTACCTTCACATAGTCATGATAAAGCCAGGTCTAGGCCTGCTGGAAATTTCGGACGGAGGAACGAACGTCTTCAGCAGCAGAAAATCTCGGCTAATTTTCCATCCAGTAAACCTGATCTCTTGAGGCATCCACGAGTCGTTCGTCGACCATGTACAGGGTGAGTAAAATATTCTGTGAGAACAAACACTTTTTGCATGATTACCGTGTGAGTTGACTGCATGATTACTACCGTGTAACTTGACTGCAAATATCGTGTGACTTGACTGTGTTATTAACTGGTGGACCTTTTCGGGGTCACCGTTTACTTACTTGCACAGATTACATACTTGTGTTGCATTGGAAATTTTTATTAGATTATGTTTGCTTTAAAATGTGCAAGAGATTCTTCTTGATGTGCAGATTACTCATTATTTTTATGTCATAAATTGATCTGTCAGCGCTTCTCTAGACGTACATTGCAATTTTTTTTCCATCACATGGAAATCTTTAGCATCTTTCCTTGCAAATACGAAATTTTTTGCAAGTTTTTTTCAGGGTAAGACATATCTGTTATACCCCGAATGAGTCATATTATTATACGATACATCTTATTGTTTGATATAATTCTTGTTCATAAAATCGTAAACTTTTCACAACTGAACCTCTATAACCTGTCACAAATATCCCATTAATTGCACTCAAAATAATGAATGGGTCATTTTCCTTATTGCGCGTAACACTTTATACCTTATCGTTAATGCTAACTTATGCCGAACTAAACTGTGTCAGGATGACACACACAAGGACAAAAGCTTGTCACTATTCGGACAAAGACACACTCATTTCTGTGAGCGTGTGGTGTCAGACCGCCCCATGGCAACATCACGACCACACCATAAATTGTACAGGTATTCCTGTTGATGGTCGAGCGTGTTGTTCACAGCGCCATTGCCGGCCTTATCTCTTATCTTGACCAGCCTTATCTCGACGGCCGGTGGCACCTGACGACATTATTGGCTTGCTACTGCCACTGTGGCATGCATGTGTTTAGTGCCATGCATATGCTTAGTGGCATGCGCTGCACTGATGTGGCATGTGCTGCACAGATGTGGCATGCATATGCTTAGTGGCATGCGCTGCACAGATGTGGCATGCATATGTTTAGTGGCATGCGCTGCACAGATGTGGCATGAATATGCTTAGTGGCATGCGCTGTACAGATGTGGCATGCATATGCTTAGTGGCATGCGCTGCACAGATGTGACATGCATATGCTTAGTGGCATGCGCTGCACAGATGTGGCATGCATATGCTTACTGGCATGCGCTGCACAGATGTGGCATGCATATGCTTACTGGCATGCGCTGCACAGATGTGCCATGCATATGCTTAGTGGCATGCGCTGCACAGATGTGGCATGCATATGCTTAGTGGCATGCGCTGCACAGATGTGGCATGTGCTGCACAACCGTTTTTTTGCCACTCGCATGTGGTTTACTGACAGCCTAAGAATGATCGACGGCATGCCACAGGCGACGTTGTGGCATGCATATGCTTAGTGGCTTTTTACGCAGATGCCAGCCTAATGTATTCATCTTCTGATCTATTTCCTCCATACTGTCTATTCCACTTGAAATTCTCCAGGTTTTCAGTTAGCTAATTTCTCTATAGTTTTTTTTACATTAAATATTTTATATTGTATATTAAATTATGTATATTATATGTTTTACATATTATCGCACGTTTTTATCTCACACACGAGTTTCCACCCAAGCTGTGTAGTTGAATATCATGTATTAGACGCAGTCATGCCTAATTTTATAACGCTAATTTACATTCAGAACATGGATTTACATTTATAAGATCAATATAAATTTATAGCACTTGCATGCATTTAGAAAGCTTATTAAAAATCTCGCTTTTTATAGCTGGATCAGCTAAGCACGAATTATTCACACTGCACAACGCATGTAAAAAAGTCAGCAAATATATAAATTCTGTAAATTTAGCTTAATTGACGTATAATGCTAATTTTTAAATCGCTTCTACATTGTTTAAATTATTGTTAAGAAACTTGATTTATAAAAAAAAAATATTTAAAAAACCACTATGTTGACTTGTGTTGTCTTTTGTTTCAATTTGAATTATCAATTCTTCATTACCGTGAAAAGAGAAATGATTAATATAAGTATTAATTATGTAATTAGTTATTAACTCGTTTAATGAGGTTGCAATGTTTAGAATGGAACCGCTTAATGCAGTCGATGGCCCGCATCAGTCGGGCATTTAATTATTATCAATTTTTCATTACCGTGAAAGGAGAAATGATTATTTTAAGTATTAGATATTATATTAGTTATTAAATCGTTTAACGAGGTTGCCATGTTTATAATGGAACCACGTAATGCAGTCGATGGTGTTCGCTTTAGTCAGGAATTTAATTATCAATTCTTCATTACCGTGAAAGGAGAAATGATCAATTTAAGTATTAGTTAATTAATTAGTTATTAAATCGTTTAACGAGGTTGCGATGTTAAGAATAAAACCGCGTAATGCAGTCGCTGGTTCGCCTCAGTCTGAAATTAAATTATTATCAATTCTTCATTACCGTGAGAGGAGAAATAATTTTTTAGTATTAGTTAATTAATTCGTTATTAAATCGTTCAACTAGGTTGCAATGTTTATAATGGAACCGCGTAATGCAGTCGAAGGTTCACCTCAGTCGGAAATTGAAGCCTGTTCAGCGCAGGTCAGCTGCCAGTTGTTTATCAAGCATCTGTGACCCGATGCGATTTGTAACGGTGAGATTAATATTTACGGTCGTCTTAGCGCCGGCCAAATATTTATGGTCGTTTTAATGCCGGCCAACCATTACCCGGCAGTAAATTACTAGGCGGTAGTAGTACGCATAATAGTAAGCGTAAAGCAATGAACGTCTCGCCATACATGGTGTGCTAATCAAGGGAAATGTATTCCATTATATTGAAGGTCCATTAAAGTGGCCATTATTATGTATTTTACGAGCCCAGTACTCCCCCGATAATGATTCACAACCTATGCTCAGGAAAATAAATAGATCATTTTGTCCGAATATTGACACGCTTTCTTTACCCACAACCCGTGCAGTAAGGGGACGCGTAGCTCTGATACGCCTGTTTTTAATACCAGGCCTAAATGGGTCAGAATGACCCACACAACAGCAGAAAGTGCATTGTTATTTGTATAAAGTCATACATTTGAGTGTGTATTAGCGCTCCAAGAATGTCAGTTATACAGCAGCGCTGTTTTGACATCGCGGCAATCGTGTATAATTTTATAATAAAAATGTTCAATAATTTATACAGTAAAACCAGGAGTTCTTCACGGTTTTGCTCTTAAATTATCTATCAAAATTAACAATAAATTGAACTGTTATCTTATTTTAAAAGCTGCCCAATATTTCAGAGTTTTGGTCCTTGAATTTCGTTCAAAAATGGAGAAAATATAAGATTCGCGAATTATTGTGAAAGCTACCATAAGAGTTAAAGTTCTCACCCTTAAATTTAACTCCATGCAATCAGAATAATAAATCTGACTAAATTCGAGGAGCTTGCAATCAATCAATCCAGGTGGGAAAAATGTCCAAGATTGTTATTTTAGTAATCATTTTTATCAACTCGGTACTTACCTCGCTTATTATCAGTATTAGGTACTCTTATTTAAGTATTACTGTTTTTGCCCAAGGAAAATGTATAAGATTTTATTGTACAAATTTCTGTAACTATCTGCTAACCTCAGTTTTTATTTGTTTTGAATGTTATTATTTTATATTGCCTCGGCTTATTGCGTTTATTCCAATGAGAATTCGAAATTAAAATGTATTTATGTTTATTTCTTAATTTTTTGTGTTACAGCAAGTGTTGGAAGGGGAAAGCTGTAGCAGGGAAGATATGGGACAAGAAATTAAACATTATTAAAATAATTAAAAAAATGAATGTGAGCGACAATCAAAGGTCAACGTTTATGCGCATAGTTTTCGCCCATGTTTTTGCGATGTGTTCGTGCTATGTCTTGGTGTCATGTCCATGTCTTATATCATGGCTATGCCGTGGCTTGTCAATGCCGTGGCATGTCTATGCCGTGGCATGTTTATGCCGTGGCATGTCTATGACTTCACGGTTTTGCTCTTAAATTATTTTGCAAAATGAGCAGAAAATGGAACTGATATCTTACTTTGAGAGCTGGCCAATAAGTTAGAGTTCTTGTCTTTGCATTTCGTTCAAAAATTGATAAAATATAAGATTAGCGAATTATTTTGAAAGGTACCATAGGAGGTAAAGTTCTCGCCCTGAAATTTAATTTCAAACGAATAATAAATCAGACTAAATTCGAGGACCTTGCAATCAATCAAACCAGGTTGGAAAAATGTCTCAGATTGTTATTTTGGTAATCATTTTTATCAACTCTGTACTTACCTCACTTCTTTGTTATTGTTATCACCCAAGAAAATATATAAGTTTATTTTTTATTTCTGTAACTTTCTGCGTACCCCAGTTTTTATTTGTTTTGAAGGTTATTGTAATGATTGTATTTATATTGCCGTGGCTTTTTGCGTTCATTCCGATGGGCATTTGAAATTAAAATTTATTTCTGTTTATTTCTCGATTTATTTGTGTGATACAGCAAGTGTTGGAAGGGGAAGCTGTAGCTGCGGATGATATGGAACAAGATGTGAAATATTAAGAAAAATATTTTAATAACAAAAAATTAATGTGAGCGACAATCAAAGGTCAAAGTTTATGCGCATAGTTTTCGCCCATGTTTTTGCGATGTGTTCGTGCTATGTCTTGGTGTCATGTCCATGCCTTATCATGACCATGTCGTGGTATGTCTATGCCGTGCATGTCTATACAGTGTTATGTCTATGCCGTGGCTTGTCTAGTCTATATGCCGTGGCATGTCTATGCCGTGCATGTTAATACCGTGCATGTCTATACCTGTCTCTTATACACATCTAGATGTGTATAAGAGACAGCTNAGGCCGTCGTTGAGTAACTGGCCGTTGATATTTCTTAATAGGGGCCATGTGAGAGGCATATTTTGACTGATCAATTACGAAGTTATGATCATCGTATTACGATGCTTTTAAAAAAATATTTTATCTTTAAATAAATTTGATTTTATTGAACTCAGCCCTAC